CAGGCAGAATGGTGTCAACAAGGGGATAGTCAGCCGGGAGTTCTGATATCGTCTCATGCAGCTGCACGCTGTCGAAGCAACTTCGACGGCTTGCATTGGAACCACCTCTTGACAGAAAGCCGCCGCCGTCGGAGGTGGGTGAGGTCAAGTCGGTCTCAAAACCCGACCCTACTGTCCAGGCCCCGCTGAATGCCGATATTGGTGAAATGCCGTGGCTTTCAGAACTCGCATTTGATCTCAGCGATGAGCTTGGGGAAAGCCTTTTTCCCTTGTTCTGTAGATCTAGCCTGCTACGTCTGTAATGTGCTAGGTCATATGTGGTCAGCTGCAGTGCCGGTCGATCGGTCAACTTGGTGTGATCGTTCTCCACCATAGCGGTGCCGGGAGCGCCAGTAAGGAGGTTGAAATCCCAATCGGACAAGGGGCTAGGTATGGATGAAATCATGCAGTCCAGGGCCGCAGCCTGTGTTGGGTGGTCCGTTGCCGGTAAGACGTGAGTCGAACTTGGGTCAAGCAGTGAGGATGCATTTGGGGGAGCCCGGGTTGCTGAAATTTCGACAGAATCAATCTCAACGATCTCGGTAGCGCATGACAGCTCGATCTGCTGGGGCCGAACGTGCAAGGAGCCATAGCTCGGGGGCGGGAGGTCGGTGGTGGCGACGAGATCGAGGTCGGAAGCGCCCTCTTTCCTAGACTTGTGGCCAATGGTCGAGAAGAAGTTCTTCGCGATCTTGAGTATTTTGCGACGTTTCCCGGGGTGACCAAGGCACCGCTTGCACTTGCCATCTGTGAATCTTTCTGGCTTCTCGCATTCATAGCACCAGTATTCTCCAGAGGACAAAAGGTCGCAGGTGTAGAGGTGCTTCAACATCAGCTCATGATCCGGAAACCGCTTTCTGCAGCGAAGCAGAGGACATTCGAGTTTCTCAATCGGCGACATCTTTTCGCAAGTATTTCGCTGAATGGCAGCCCACACGATGAATCTATGCACAGCGCACTCATCATGAGGTGTGTGACGAGTGCTTTTGCGAATCGCCAGGTAAGTATTTCTCGGGAAAGTCCTTGAAGTGACACCGCAACTTACACACATGACGCCCTCGAGCTCGACACAATCGAAGACGTTGAGCTTGAGCTTGTCGTAGAACACGAATCCCTTCTGGAGCGGCTCAGGCTAAGGCGGGGGGAAGAAGTCAATGCTCGTAAGGCTGAGGGGTTCCAGATGCGCGGATGAGCGTCTTCACCAAGTGGCGAGACGAGCTTCTTCGCAGCCATGATCAGATTGAAAAATGTCGGCCAAAGAACATTCAACAATGCAAGAAATGAAGCACAACCAATCCGCCACCCATGCTGAGTTTTATTCTGCTGGGTGCTTGGAGGTTGGAGGCGGAGTGAAGACGGCTTGAGGGGTTCCCTCCCACGCGGTCCATTGTCATGTCCTAGATCCCGGTTTGTAGGACTCGGCACCGTAGGACTTGTTGTGACGGCGGCCTGCCTGCTACTAGGGTCAGATCTGGCTGCCTCCCCGGCACATGCAACGTATGGGGCTTGGTCAGAGTCAGCACGCTCAGCCTGCATTGATTGGCGGACATGCAGTGGAAAGGCCGTTGAGCAGGTACCCAAGCGCTCTTTCCGGCCGGTAGCTACCTAGGCACCCACTTGTACATGTCGGCAGCTCATGTAATTCAATGATGCAGTCAAATGGTCGGCACAACGGCATGCAATTTGCTTGTGTTTTCGAAATAGTAATTCTTACAATATTGCAGGAGCACTGGCCTTGCCACAATCTGATGGAATGGTTTCGACGAGCGAGGCTGGTGATGACAGATTTTTCTGGCAACCCGTATCCTTTTTGGGGGTTGAGACTTGGCACGTACTTTCCATGTCCATCAATGACAGCCCTTCAGACAGGCACGGTTTTCGGCCAATGGCCTTCCACAAGCTGCCTGGTAAGGCGCACTGGCGGCCGTGATTATGCCTTGGTCTGAGCGGAATTCACCACGCTTTGGAGCAAATTGATGTAATCGGTCACCTGGTCTGCCATCATTTGTCAAGGACCATCATTTGTGAGGTGACAAGAACAGACATCACGTTCTGCCTTGGTTGAGGCCGGACTGTGAAGCCAACAAGTCTCGACTCGACAGAAGTCGCTTGTGGGGATTATTACATAGCGACAATACCAGAGGACCGTGAGAATAAACTGACTAATGCAATACCATTGATCGATAGATGGCAGTCAGTCATCCTGATATACGGGAGCGTACTCATTGGTTCCGTCGATCAGTCCGAGGGCGTTGTCATACCTAAAGCGTGTGAACAATAGTCCACAGACAGTGAAATTTTTTGTTTCATTGCTGACGATGGCAGTACATACCACGCTCAAGAACAAGTACAGGTACAGCGGGACACGGCGGACGAATGAGTTACGG